TCAATGATTATATTAATTATAATTTAGATTTTCCTTATTTAAAATGGATATTTATTCTGTATTTAACTATGTTTATCTCAGTTAGTTACATGAATTTAAAAATAGAACTTTAATAACTTGTATTTATACAAAGTTATTTGTAATCTTGAATTTTAAGTAATACACATCAATAAACAGTATTTCATACATAAAAAATAGTTTTTGAAAGTTTTTGTTAAATATTTTATAAAATACTAGATGGGTGCTCGTGCAATGCATCAAGACACATCTTGATTTATATGTCGTTTTATTCATTTTTTATGTTGATATAATACGGTTTTATATGGTTTTGAGAAAGCGATAATGTGTTTATTTTTGAATAAAATATAAATTTGAAAATATCATAAAATTTTGAAAAAAAATATATCGATATCAGTATCAAATTAATTTTTTTTAAAATTCTAGTGTTTTGATGTAATTTCCTTAATTCAATTTTTTTATTATAATTTAATTTAGTTTTAATAACAAAAAAATTTAATTTAGATTTAATAATATAATTTTTATAAAGATAATAACTAAGTATTCTGTTAGAACTCAATGATTATCCTAATTATATTTTAAATTTTTTATATTTAAAATAAGATATTTATTCAATATTTGATTATGTTTATCTGCGGTTAGTTACACAAATTCAAATATGGAGTTTTAATAAGTTGTATTTACATAAAATCACTTGTAATCTTGAATTTTAAGTAATATACATCAATAAACAATACTTCATGAATAAATAATAATTTTCAAGAATTTTTATCAAATGCATAGATTATAGATAAATTTAAACTATATAAGATTTTAAAAGCATTGCAGTATTACTATTATCATTACATGGAAGGAGACCGTAGGTGGTTGGAGGGGACACATGTCGTGTTATGATTGGGCGGAATGCAAATGCAAGACCATGACTCAACAAGGGTACCGAAGGGGTTAATGTGGGCCACAAAATAGGTACACTCCCTTTATGGAAACGCAAAAGATCCCTTCTAACCTTATTCCTCCTTGTTGCCTGTGAATTTCCCATTTTACCCTTATGAATTTCCTAAATCACATAACACAAAATCCCTTTTTTTATACGTTATTGAACAGATATCTTTATTTTCTACAAAAACGCAAATGCGTCAACACCAAAAACTTACTCTCAGGATTAGCGGGTCGGCAGTATTCGGTAACCCCACCTTCTTAATATAAGATCTTAAATCTTATCAGATACGAAAAGAATGTCAGTATAATTTACTGTATATATATCATTTTATATACTTAAGAAAAACTTGTTTCGAATTATTGATTACATAGTTTACAACAACGACATAATCAGGAGTTAGGAGTTCACTGTTGCTTTCAGAAAAACAAGTCAAAAAATCTGAATCTTCACAAATCGATTTTGACTGGGTTTTAGTCGTGTTCTTTTCCAGGCCTTTCCTCAGTCTAAAAAACAAGACCGATTGGAGTTTGAACGACTAGGTTGGTCCTTAATTGATCACGTCGATCTTGATTCAGTATTTTGGTCCTTAACTATTGTTACTTGTTTCGGTAACTTCTCTACCTTAAGTTAAGTGGAACATACCAGATATGTTTGCTTTAATTAGTTTAAAATATGATTTACTCAAATGTTAAACGGTTTATAATGCATATTAATAAAAAAATACACTGATGAATGAGTTGTCTACCTGCTGTCATATTGATGTTGGTTAAAAATCATAATAATCCATTTATTATCGTCGCAGACAAAAAACGTGACATATCACAGCTACAAACGAGTGTAAAGATGGATAAACGTGAAGAAAGGAAAAAAGATACACAGATTTTAGTATACTCGACTTTTTTAGAAAACAATTGATGATGGTTAAATGTCGTGTTGATGGTTTTCAAACTTTTTTCTAAAACACTACAACACGGATATGTTCTTGTTATCACCGAATAAAATTATTGTTACTACTTTTGGTAACGTATCCCATTGAAAACACATATGACATGATTGTTATTCCTTTTGGTTATTTGTAGCGAATATGACGAGATTTAATAATTTTTTAAAATGAAGCAATTCAAACGGTTTTTAAAGTGAGATATGAATCGTGTATATATCTGTGTGTTTGAGATGTGAGAGAACAAGATAATACATGACATAATATAACATAACATAACAAAAACTTGTTGTCTTGTTTGGCATGGTATTAGACAGGGACAAGACTAGATTGAGTAATTTGACAGTTGCTGAATGGTTTGGTACAGAATGATTAAGAGACTTTCATGATATAGTGTAAAACGAAATATAATTGTTTGGTAAATTGTTTACGATGAAATTAGTGCGCTTAATGGTTAAGGAGGTCTCATGATACAAAATCATTTAGAGGGTTTTAGAACCATTAAGAGACATATTTTTTTTACCAAACAATATTCACTTCTGAATGATTCAGATGTTGTCTCTTAATAGAACTGTTAAGAGGTAAACAAACACCCGTTAATCATTTTCATACACTTTGTTGAATTAACTTCCGACTCACGACCACCCAAAAAACGACACGATTTAATGGTTTATTCTTCTTTTTCGTTGATTATATGCTCAAAAAAATTAAAATTTTATCATTAAACGATTGTAATGATGTTGCATTATGTGGATAATAATGACATTTAACCATTTCTTCACATCATTAGAGAATAGTTGATAATTCAAGGGCATTTTAGTCATTAAAAAAATACACCTTAAATTCCTTTTCTTAGATCTTTAGGAGTTAAAAATGGAGAAAATTATGGAAGTTTGTTAATTTCAAGATTTGTTCATAACAAACACAATATACACAAGAAAATGTCAAAGATGAACATCATATCATGTGCAAAATGGCAAAAAAAAACCCTAATTTTGTAATTATAAATAGGGTTTTGGATTTCAATTCTTTTGAAGGGCATGAAAAATCAGAAGAACATTCTCCATCACCAAATGGGTTTATGAGGTTTTTCCTTTTCTATTTGGGTTTTCACTCTCTCACACTATATATACATACTTATACATATATATATATATATATACATATATTGTGTGTGTATTCTAGAGAGAGAAGGTAATGAAGAGAGATGAGTGAGAGTCTGTTCCTCTCTCCAGCTTTTATGGCGTGAGACCTTACCAGTAAGCCAGTGTGTACACTACCATCACCTATACATACACTGTGTGTATTAACATCCTTAATCTTTGCATGCTTCACCAAACTCATTCCCAAAGATCAAAATTTCCCAAAAACCCAAGTGAGCTTATGATTATGATGATTATGATGGTATCATCACCTAATTAGAAAACCCACATCTTCAATCTGATTCTTGATTGATTCTAGCCAAACCCAGATGAGAAAAAGGTTTAATCTGTTGTGGGTTTTCCTTTTCTAGTGTTTCTTGATCGTTTTCTTGATGTCTGTGCTTTGAATTTCTACTTTTCAAGATTTCTTGATTTCCCTGTTTTTGTTTGTGTTTTTGTTGTTGTACACTTTTTGTTTATTGTTGATGGTTGAGAGATTTGGGATTATTGAGAACATGAAGGATGATGAAGAACTGGAAATGTTGTTGGGTGAGATCCCTCATGCAATTCATCATCATCATCATCCATCATATGCGAATGGCCTCCATCATCATCATCATGTTGTCAATGGTAATGTTCATGGTAATGGGTCTATTGCTCCTCAAACAGTGAATAGGATGAGGTATGGTATGTATGATGATGATGATGATGATTCATCATGTAGCTACCACCAGAATCCATGTGTTTCCCCTGCTACTGTCTTTCCAAGCATGTTCTCTAATGGCCATTCATCATCTGATACATCATCATCATCATCATCATCATCATCAACCCTTCATCCATTTCATGATCCCATCCCCAAACCCCACATCATCTCAAGAAACCCCCATTCGCAACTGAGCGAATCTTCTTACGGGAAGGAAGTTGATTCAAATTTGATTGATGAACTTGATTTATCATGTAATCTTGGTCGAATGTATATCAATCAGGATCAAAACCAGGGTCTACTTCATGATCATCGAATCAATTCAACTAGATTTGGGGCATCTAACCCTCCATTTCCAAGAATCCCCATCAATTCCGATAGTGAATTGAATCCAGCATTCTTCGATTTCCAGCAAAATTGTGGGTTATTTCCATCTGCTCAATCTGAGAATTTGTTAAATTATTGTTATCAATGGGGGATTCTAGCTGTTCCCAATGGCTTATACTGTATGAATCAAATTGGGATGAATTCTATAGATGAAAGGGGCATAAGTGCACACTCCTGTTTGCAAAAGCCCAAGAGTAACATGAACCATGACCCGCTTCGATTTCACCATACGGCAACCGGTGGTTCGTCAAGTGTCAGAGTCCATCGTGGTGGGCTTGAGGGTTTAGCCGCTAGTGAGGATAGTTTGATCATTCAAGGTGAAGATTTGAGTCGAATTAGAACCATAGGATTCGGTGGTGCAAGAGGACCTAACAAGAGGGGGGCTCAGTCATGGCTCGAGCCAAGTTGCTATGAGTTCATGGACCCTTGCGTAAATGGTCGAACAAAGGTCCATTTGTCTTGTTCTTCGCATTTAGCTGAAGCTCAAAGATATATCTTTCTGATGGCTAAAGATCAACACGGGTGTCGGCTTCTGCAAAAGATTTTCGATGATGGAAACCCTCAACATGTTCAGATTGTGTTTAATGAGATCATCGGGCACGTGGTTGAGCTTATGATCAACCCATTTGGGAATTACCTTATGCAGAAACTATTGGAAGTGTGTAATGAAGAGCAAAGAATGCATATTTTGATGGCGATCACTCTAGAACCGAGGGAACTTGTGCAAATTTCGTTGAATACTCATGGGTAACTTTCGGTTTGATCTGTTTAATGTCGTTATTCAACCTTAAAATGGTCTAAAAATTCTGTGTTTTTGTAGAACTCGGGTCGTACAGAAGCTCATAGAGACTCTTAAAACCCGACAGCAAGTTAAGCTCGTGATATCTGCGCTTGAACCAGGGTTTCTTGCTCTTATAAAGGATCTCAACGGTAATCATGTCATTCAGCGATGCTTGCAGTGTCTCAGCAACGAAGATAATAAGGTGCGGACCAAATATTTGAGCATACATTACGATTTTTTAGCGAAAAAATAGGTTTAATTTCCGTTCTTTTTATATGTTTATCATACTTGTGTTGTTCATTAGTTCATCATGCTGATGTGGTATAATGGACGTATGTTATTTATAACAAATTTGATTGGTTTATTGTATTATGCTATAATGACTGAATGGCAAAACGGTTTGTAATCCCGTATGTGCTAGAAGTCATCTTACGCTATCAAAATGCGAGCTTTTCTTTTGTATTAATGCCCTCTAAATTCATTTGAAATGGTTAACCGAACTAATTAGGAGTTCCGTACCCTTTGACTTTAGAGGTCAAACGTACTCGCTCTAAATTTAAAATCGCTCCTATGATCTAAACATTGTGATGAAAAAACCTTGGTGATTACAGTTAATCTTGTTATTGTTACTAAACGGAATTCGTTAATCTTGGTTTCGTTACAAAATCTATACGCTTTTGGACTTTGAAAGCAACAGGTTTGACCTGAAATTTTCAAAATGTATTCTTGTTTGCTATGTTTCGTCTGAGTGTTCTTTGAACCAGTTCTAATTAGTATGTGCGGGCTAGTCGTGGAGATCATGGGTTCGGGTTATGAAAACAATTTGTTTGCAAAATGCAACTGAAACATGGAGCCTTGGTGCACCAGGGTTCACCTTTTTTGGTTCTCGAAACACTACTCTCGATATCTATAAAGTTCATCCGTTTCTTTATTGATCACAGTTTATTTTCGAAGCTGCTGCAAAATTCTGTGTTGAAATCGCGACTCATCAACATGGGTGTTGCGTGTTGCAAAGATGCATCAATCACTCGACCAGCAAACACCGTGAAAACTTGATCTCGGAAATTTCGGCAAACGGGCTTCTTCTAGCGCAAGATGCATTCGGGTAAACATTATGGAGCGATTTTCTTGAAATCTTTGGAGTCGTTGACGAAGCTAACAGTTATTGTGAATGCAGAAACTATGTCGTACAGTACATTCTCGAGCTGCAGATTCCATCGGCCGTTTCGAAGCTGACCTCGCAGTTCGAGGGAAACTATGTGCATCTCGCGATGCAAAAATTCAGCAGCCATGTGGTCGAGAAATGTTTAGCCGTATTAGACAGTCAAGTTCGGTCAACCATCATCCGTGAGTTGATCTCGGCTACTCATTTCGAGCAGTTGCTTCAAGATCCCCACGCCAATTACGTTATTCAAACCGCTCTTCGTGTTTCTGAGGTAAGTAATCTTTCAACAAAAATTGTGGTTTGTTACTCCGCTCGTATAATCTGAATCAGACAACATGATCGAAAAGCTTTCGATGTGCAGGGTCTGCTTCATAACTCGTTGGTGAATGCAATCGAATCCCATAAGGCTATGTCACGCAACAGTCCGTATTCGAAGAGGATTTTCTCCCACAAGCTTTTGAGGAGGTGAATGGATGCATGATGATAATGTTGTTGTTTTCTATGTTGGTTAGGGGTGGGGTCGTGATAGCGATGGTCGTGTGTTCGATATCGGGATTTTTTGGTCGAATTTGTCTGCGATGATAGCGGTTTTCGAGTGATAGATAGGGAGGGAAAGCAAATTTTGGGTTCAAGTTGCTTAAAAGTTGAAAGATAATGACAATGTTGATGTAGTTTCACTTTGTTTGAATATGTAACTTTGGATGTTAAAATCTTCATTTTTGGAGCTTATTTTTTTGGTATTCGAAACCGTCTGATCAAAGTCGCCGACGATGTTCTGATACCGTTTAAGCATAATGCTCGATATCGCTCTCGGAACGGCTGAATTTCAAAACACACTGACGATCGTCGTTGGCCCCTTCGCCCCTCCTAGCCCTGTCGCCCTCTCTTACCCTCTCCACTACGCGTCGCCGTCTTGCCCCTCTGATATCCGACAACTAGTGTTGGATATGGGCCGAATTGATCAGATTAAAGACATCTAAACAATCTAATCTATTGTTTGCAATTTGAAAAAAAAGTCAAAAACCTAACCCAATCCAAACTGTGCAGGTTGGGTTGATCAGGTTTGAAACTTTAGTACATTATTTCATAATATAGTTAAGCTTTAATGTTTAAACGAAGTAAAATCATGTGAAAAGACTAAGGGGGTGTTTGGGATTGCTTATTTAAAACAACTTATGTTTTTTCATAAAAGTGCTTATTAACTTATGTGGTATTAAAACCGAATTTTGTAAAAGTGTTTGGATTAGTGTATAGCGGTACCAAAAAGCAATAAGCTGATAAATTATTTTTTAATGTTTGACAAATTTTGCTTATATATATATATGTGAAATGACCAAAAAGAATAGTTTTCTATAATATTGACAAAAAATTATATTAATAAGATTAATAATTTATATCAATAAGATTAATAATTAACAAACAATAATAAAACATGGTTAAAATGGTAAAATGGTAATAAACAGTTTTTCATAAGTCAAGAAGGATTAACTTATCAAAAACTGCTTATTACCGGTTTGGCACCGATATAAGCAGTTTTATCTTTCCTCCTCCAAACACTAGCATTTAACTTATCACTGGTGCCTGACTGAAATAAATTAAAAAAACACCTAAAATAAGCAATCCCAAACACCCCCTAACAAACTCAAAAAAAGTTGAAAGCTCATGCAAATTAGAAAAGTAAAAGTACGGTTGAAATTGTAATATAAATTTGAACATAACTAATTAAGGACTGGTTTAAATTCTAATGTACATATATTATCAAGGACCTAGTAATAATATTAAATTCATAGTATATAAAGACACCGGGTTCATCAGATTGGGTTGACTTCAAACTAAGCTGTTGAATTTACATAATTTAAAAAAGAAATCCTTATGCAAATTTGCATAAGGATCCACTTGTGCGTAAATATTTTTTTTTTAAATCTGAAAATAGATTTTATAAAAATGCGTAAAATATTTACATAAACTTTGACTAAAATGAGAATTTGGTTTAAAAAGTGTTTAAAAAATGAATTTGGTTGAAAAGATCGACTATTTTGAGCAATTTTTTTCCCTTGGGTTTTTTTATACTTTTACTTTTTTATATTTCTACCATCAAAAAATATTATTTTTGTGTTGGGACTATAATGATATAGGCTTTTTATCACATGTGATAAAAAGGTACATGAAATTGTGAATATCAACATTTTTTTAGTCGATTTATAGTTATTGGTACATGTTGATTTAAGTTTAATGTTATAGTAGTTTTGTAATTGGGAATTTTGATGTTTATCACATGTGATAAACATCCCAATTTGAAATTGTATGTTACTGTAATTCTTGATGAGGTTGATTATCACACCAAATCGTGTAGTTGATTTCCTAAGTTAACCCTATCCGAACGGAATTCTTGTGATAATCGTGTGATAATCACATGATTTATCACACCTATATCACACCAAATCATGTTGAAATAAGCGATAACCATAACAACCCATTATGTTATTCCAGATTATCGGGTTTAGTGTGATCGTGTTTTTAAAATTTTATTACTTTGAATTCTAATATTATCCTTTTGCCTCTCAATTTTTTTTTGAATTGTTTTTAATTTAAAAAATCTTTTAATTTTTATTGTTATCACAATATGAGGTTAATAGGTTGTTCTCGAGTTTTCACAAATCAAAGAGGTTATCGTTTGAACCATTATATATATATATATATATATATATATATATATATATATACATATAGAGGAGCGATCAAATGAAAACTACTCCAATTTGTAAAAACCGTAAAAACTACTCTCATTCGTCGATTTCATTGTTTAATATTATGAATTTTTTTCATGAAATTGTTTAATCTTGTGAAATTGTTTCATATAATACTTTTTTTGATGAAGTTTTTCATATATGGTTATGAAATTGTTTCATATACTACTTAATGAAACTGTTTCATGTATTTCTCTAAAATTAATGAAACTGTTTCATGTATTTCTCTAAAATTAATGAAACTGTTTCATGTATTTCTCTAAAATTAAAATAATGAAGATGATAATATCCATGATTAACATCATCCACAATAAAAATGATTAATCAATCTCTCATAATTACAAAAAAATGAACAAAATGAAAAATTATGATTGGTTGAATGAAGTTTGTACGGTTTGTACAAATTAGGTGATTTTTATTTGAACGTTCCCCTATACATACATATACATATATATATATATATATATATATATATATATATATGAGGAGCGTTCAAATAAAAACTACTCAATTTGTAAAAACCGTGAAAACCTCATTCAACCAATCATAATTTTTCATTTTGTTCATTTTTTTGTAATTATGAGAGGTTGATTAACCATTTTTATTGTGGAGGGTGTTAATCATGGATATTATAATCTCCATTATTTTAATTTTAGAGAAATACATGAAACAGTTTCATTAAAATTTTAGTAAGTATTATATGAAACAATTTCATAACCATATATGAAACAAATTTATCAAAAAAAAGTATTATATGAAACAATTTCACAAGATTAAACAATTTCATGAAAAAATTTCATAAGATTAAACAATGAAATCGACGTATGAGGGTGGTTTGTATGGTTTTTACAAATGAGAGTGGTTTTCATTTGATCGCTCATATATATATATGGTATATTTCAAATGCAACCATGTCCATTTGTAAAACCAATGCAACCCAATTAGTTGAGATATTATCGAAATGATAAGAGTTCATTTATTATGATTTGAATATTTATGGAATATGAATAAGGTTTATTAATTATGTTCAATACTTTATATTAGGAAATAATAAAAACTTCTTGGGATTATGTGAGACCAAGGGTTTTTCGTGAGACCCGTAAGACCAATTCTTAACCATTGGATTAGATTTACAATATAATAATCTGAACATTCATAAACGCCACGAGACTTCTCAATAATTACAAAATTGACACCGTGCAATTTAGACCATTAGATCATTAACATATAAATTTGATCAATGAACATAAATTGGTCATATGGGTCTCACGAAAAGCACTTGGTCTCACGTGAACCCAACTATATATATATATATATATATATATATATATATATATAGGGGCCCATTCAAGGAAGAACTTATTAGTTTGTGGTAACAGTGAGATCCAATCTCAATCACAAATTAACGAATAAATTAGAAAATAAGTAATTTTGGTAATTTGAGTTAAAATTATAATTAAAGGGCATTTTAGGTATTTTTAAAACTCCTCTCTCCTCTCTCCGACCTCCAATCTCCGGTGAACAAAAATCCGGCACGTACCAAGTAATCACAAAGATACACAATGTGATACCCATTGTGATATACTGTGATACCCATTGTGATATATTGCGATACCATTGGGGTACCACGGTGTACCACAAAAAAGGAGTGGCACATCTTCGGAGTTACATCTTCGACGAGATCTGGTTTACATCTCCGGCGACATCTGTGCTACATCTCCGGCGACACCTGTGCTAATCTACCATCATCATCATGGCAACTGATGATCGGAGATCTCTTGTGGATTTGCCGGCATTCGAAAAAGATGCGAAGGCACTTGAGTTCATCGAGAAGATGACGAGCAACGCTGACACCGTTCAGGCGAATGTTTTGGCGGCGATTCTCAGCCGGAACGCTAAAACTGAGTATCTCAAGCTTTACAATCTCGACGGAGCCACCGATCGAGAAACTTTCAAGTCGAAGATTCCAATGGTCACTTACAAGGATCTTCAACCTCTTATTCAACGCATCGTCAATGATGATCRTTCTCCCATTTATATAAAAACTTTGGTACATGGTTTGATTGATTTTCCATCTGATGATGAACGATGGTGTGGTGGTTGTTGTGCGTGAGAAGGGGGAAAGAAAGGAAGAGAAGCATGCCTATGCTGGAGGACGGTTGTTTCATAATGAAGGAGAAGAGTAGGGTTTTAAAATTATAAACATTACCAATTTACCTTTATGTTATTTTAGGATATAACATTAATTATTTAAATGATTGGCTCACATTGGATCTCACAGTTACCACAAACTAATCAGTTCTCATTTGATTAGGCCCATATATATATATATATATATATATATATATATATATATAGGGGAGCGATCAAATGCAAACCACTCAATTTGTACAAACCGTGCAAACCGCATTCAACCAATCATAATTTTTCATTT